ATTACAAACTCTAGGTAAGAATTGCTATATTCCTCAAAATAATGTCACTAGGTTGAAACATAAAGTGCAATTTTTCAAAAAGTGCTTAAAGAGATGGCTAGACAACAAAAAACTCTGAAGCTATTTTTGCAAATAAATAGGGATGTTTTCCATAATTTAGTGAGATAGTCACAGATCCTTTGGAGCGTTCATTTTTCAGAAAACAAAGTCTGAGTAATTAAGTAATTGAGTAATTAAGACAATATACACCCTATCCATAACGTGCCTGGGACATATTAGAAAAAGAAAGTGTCTCATATAGATCATTATACATATCTCATAGCCTTGAAGACTCAAAGTATTTAAAATAATCGAATAGGCAGTAATTTTAATAATCAGAGTGTTTATGGCCAGGCTCAGTGGCTCATACCTGTAATCCCAGCACTCTGGGAGACCTATGCAAGTGAATTTCTTGAGCTCAGGAGTTGAAGACCAGCCTGAGCAAGTATGAGACCCCATCACTACTAAATATAGAAAAATTAGCCAGGCATCATAGTGGGTGCCTATAGTCTCAGCTACTCGAGAGGCTAAAGCACAAAGATTGCTTGAGTGCAGGAATTTGAGGTTGCAGTGAGCTAGGCTGAGGCCAGGGTACTTAACCCAGGACAATATAGTGAGACTGTCTAAAAAAAAAAGAAAAAGAAAAAGGCCAAAGCTAAACCAGAGTGTTTATTTCTGAAACTGATTTTTGCAGGGAAGCTTCTTGAAAGTAGCCAACATGCTGGGAAAGTATGCTACTGGTCACGAATCTTTTATTATATATCTTATGCAAAAAGTATATTTAATTATACATAAGATGACCCTATGTAATCTCAGAATGTGGGAGGATGATCACTGGTCACAGTCCTCTGCTTTTCTTTTATTCTATTTCCAAATAGAAAAGGTTAATTTGATTAAAAACGTGTGTGAAATAGCGTATTGAGCAATGCTATAGGATGATTCAACAGTTTCGTTCTCCAAAGAACCAAATACTGCAACAACAGAATAAACCTTTACTTATGAATGACTTTACTCAAATTCAGGGCTACTTATTCTAATAATAAATAAAAAAACCTGCATCCTTGACATGTGTATGTGATATAAGGCAAAAAGGAAGGTGTGTATATTCATAAATTGTTTGGAGATAAACAGAGGGATTGTATATTCAAGAAATCAAATTTTGAAATATGAAGATTTTCAGGTATCAAATATTTGTTGAAAAGCTGTTTTCAGCTGTCCCCAAACCAAAGAAGACATTCATATTTTTCTCTCGTTTACTCTAAATAAATAATCTATAAATTTTGACACTTGGCTAGATCATTCGTTTCAATCCCCTCAAGTTATTAAAAGTTTATTAGTAGATCTGAATCCAAACATTCAAACTTTAAAAATTAAATTAAAAAATTTAAATTTAAAATTTAAAAGAGTATGTTTTCTTGCCACCAGATGTCACCATTCCTCCATTTGGAAAGACAATTTGAAACTGTGCCAGGCTGTATAATTTCTGGGGCTAGTGCACAAACATTGATTTTGCATTTTTCAGTATTTGAATTTAAATAATCAAATATTTGAAGTGCCTGGACTTTTTCTTCTTCTTTTTTTTTTTTTTTTACAATTTTTAAATAATGAATAGAATAATGAAAATATAATTGCTGTTTTAGACCTATCAATGTGCATGTAACTAAGGTTCAGACTTTCTTTCTCCCCAGGAAGAGAATTTTTGCCTGGAAAGCCCACATGATCAGGTTTGCACCTTGTAATGTAGTGTGAAGGTTGACAAGGCTGAAAAGAGGAAGCAACTACTACAGAATTAGGGTGAAACAGCTGTGTCACTAGAATAGAGATTAAAAAACATTTAAGAAGTAAAATAGAAGAGAATTGTCTATTTTCAATACATAGTAAGGGAGAGAGAAGAGTCACAGAGGTGACTCCCAGGATGTGACTTGGGTGCAGGGTGGACAGTGATGCCAGTGTGTGAGGGATACTGCGAGAGAAGCTCAGAAGAGATGTGCATCCACTGGGCACTTACTTTAGGGCATCACCTTTTCATCCCCACTTTCTGTATCTTGTAGGACTTTGGTTTCCATAATAAAACCATAATCAGGATTCTAATTGCCAGAAGTGAAATAGACTTGCTGACCATAAGAAAACGTTACAAAGAGCAATACGGAAAATCTCTATTTCATGATGTCAAAGTAAGTCTTCTATACATAATTTATTTTGACCCATGTTTTATCTCTTCTGAAACTGAGATAAGAGCTTCATTTAAACTTCATGGTGCAATCTGAACAGTTGAATAAATACTCAGACAGGGATAATTCACCTTAGTATTCCAGACACCTTCCAGACCAAAAGGTGCCAAGTTAGAAAAATCCTTCACCTCAATGTCATAATTGATTCCTCTTGGATGTGTTCGAAGCAAAATAAAGGAGTCGTGTACAATATTTATGCCCAGTAAATGTCTTGAAGAGCTGAATTCTGAAGCATAATCAGGTGTTAAACAAGGCACAGAGACCTAAGAACATGTCCGGACTTGTATTTTGCACATAGTTAAGTGCTGTTACCTCGTTCACATTGTTTTCAGCTGAAATTTTTAATCGCAAGGAATGGCTTTCTTTTTAGTTTAGTCAAAAAAGTGATCCAGAAATAACTCAGTGACCAAAGAACCAAGATGCCACATGATACAGAAGACTTTGTAGATTCTTGAGAAGGTAAAGTGGTTTCCAAGAGTAAGAGATGATGGAGCAGTGAAGAGAAATCTTACTCTCTTCACTTCTACCTCAAAGCCCCAAACTCTTCAAGTGTTAATAAATATTTTCCATTGAGAAATCCATGTCGTACATAATGGATCCTCTAGATGATTAAATTAGTTTTCTGTAATTAAGCACAACCATGTCAGTGTCTGCTAATATTTGGATATAATTAATGCAACTTTGCCATATGCTTTTAAAATAGTGAATTATAATTATACAACTTTGCGTAAAAGAACAATTTAATCTGATAATTGGTTTTTAACAAAGATCAGTTTTATAATAATATTTATTTTTTACTGTGAGTTTTTGGGAAAATATAGAAACTATAGAAGACCACAAAAGTAAAATACAAATTTCTTTAATTTTCTATCATAGATAATCAATGACAAAATTTCTGGTAGCTGCTGCTATGGTCTGAATATTTGTGTACCCATAAAATTCACATGCTGAAATTATAATCCCCAAGGTGACGTGACTTTAAGGAGATGATTAAGTCATGAAGGTGAAGACCATAACTGGAATTAGTGTCTTTATTTATTTTATAAAATAGGCCCAAGGCAGTGCCTTCGTTTTCCTGCCCTGTGAGGTTAGAGTGAGTAAGCAGCTGTCCACAGGGAGCAGCCCTCAGGAGACACCAAATCAATCTCCTGGCTCCTGGACCTTGCCAGCCTCCAGACTGTGAGAGAGAAATTCCTGCTGTTTCTAATCCACCAAAGCTTATACTATTGTTACAGCAGCTTGAACCATCTTTGTCTTAGAACACATAAATAATAATATGTTTTACATATTATCCTATCCTATCCTATCCATATTATCCTATCCATATTATCCTACAGGATATTTTTACTGAACCATTGTATTGAATTGTATAAACTGTAAAGTATATAAACTAGCTCTCATTTTTATATATTGCTTTTCAGTTTTCACTAGTACTCATGATATTATGCTGTACATATTTTTAGTGTAAATATTTCTTCTCATCATTCATATCATGGCTCTTTCATAATGTAGTTCAGAGGAACGGTGGTTCTTTTAAAGAAAAAACTATGACATTTCATTTCAAATACATCACATTTTGTCTTTTCAGAACTTTGCTTCAGGGCATTATGAGAAAGCACTGCTTGCTGTCTGTGCTGGGGACGTGGAAGACTACTAAATGAAGAGGAGGGTCTGAGGGACTATGTACTCCTCTTCATCCGCACATCCAAATGGACATTTTCTGACAAATTTCAGTTATTACTAGCAGAATAATGAAACTATAGAATCATACTCTCTCATTTTTGTGGTTATTCCAAGATAAAAATAAAAATAATTAATGAAAGTATATGATACTGGATTTGCCTATTATCTAATCAACAATTATATATACAGTGCATAATGAAATGATATAATAGTAGCATTGGAATAAGTTTATCTAAATTCAAACCACTGGGAAGAGGTAAGATGCCTACTGAAGCCAGTTTTCAGTAGAGGCTCCCATCCAGAGGGAGAAGTAATGGACAGAACCAACTCAATAAAGTGGAAGATCGGGAGCTGAACCAAGAGAGAGGATTGATAGGTTTGCATCACCCTTGCTGAGGCAAGCTGGGACTCCAAGGAAATAAATTTCAGGTACAAAAACCATCCCAAAGAGGATGAATCCTCTCCCCCACCCCTGCCATGAGAGCAGCTTGAGGTGAGTAGTGAACAGAGGACCTTTTGTTTCACCAAAGGGGAGAGAACAACTGAGGTCTGGGACTCCCTCCACAGAGAGATACTGCTGCAAGCCCTGGCAGTGTCTTGCCAGGACAAAGGTTGATTTATTATTCTCCCTACCTTCCTGAGCTCCCAGTCCACCCTCTCACCTCTCCGGCAGTCCAGAAGACTACCCCCTGTATAATCTGGAGTGACTGGCAGATTTTTGCCAGGGCAGGCATCTCATGGGCTGTGGGGCAGTTGTGCTTTATAACTTTAATAGAGTAAAATTTAATAGAGTAAAATAGAGTAAATAGATAATAAATAAAATAGATAAATAAATAAATAAATAAAATAGATAAATAAATAAATAGATAAATAAATAAATAAAATAGATAAAAAATAAATAAAATAGAGTAAAATAACTTTAATAATGCTCTATAACTTTAATAGAGATGGGGAGTCACAAGGGGAGTGAAACTTGATCTGTGTTGGAAAGAGGATAGCGTGGGACCTGCACCACTGACCACTGGGGACTGCCAGCACCCCACCCCATTCTGCTACCCTCAGAGCACCACCCACCAACTCCCCTGCTTCCTGCTCAACTCCCATGACCAGCACACAGCAGTACCCTAGACCAGCGACACCAACCCTCACAGTGGTGGTGGCTCCATGGTCCCTCCCACTGGGATCAAGTTTGGAAGAGACACCTCCTCAATCCTGTGTAACACAGAGGAAAACTGACCTAAACTGCAGGGGTTCCAGAGGTGGAGTGTGGCCAAGGCAGAGGCACATCTCTAAGGGAGAGAACCACACTCCTCCACGGTAACCCCTGGATGGGACAGATGCAGGTGGAACACTCCCCAGTTTCCAGTGGTCACTGGAGGGAATCAAGCCTGAACTCTTCCTGCCTGCACATTGTACAGTGAGGTGGCCCAGTTGGGAAGGCATTATCTCTTCTTTGACTTAGGTGCAAATACCTGGTGTACTTGAGTATTAGAGAGAGCAGAGCTTCAGCCCTGTGGGGTAACCAGTGACTGGGGGTGACAGTGATGCAAAGCGGGAAAAGAGGGACCAACCCTCCTGGAATAATTCTTTTGCTGGGCTGGCCTTTTGGCCTCCACAGACCACCAGAGTGAGTCACACTTAAGCTGCCAGTGGACACCTGCTGTCCAGTTGCTGGAGACCTTTCAAACTTTCCCATTTGTTCCGTGTTTGTGCTAACTAGGACAATTTGTTTGAAACTCTTGATCTGGGCCAATCACCTGGGGACTTTCCAAGGTTAAACCCCGGTTGTGTTGTAGAGGGAGGGTCTGATTCTCCTCTCTCTCAGTTATTGCCAGTGGGTGGCAGGGTGTCTTAATTGCTTGAATTCCTCCATAGCTGAAATTTCAACCCAAAGCCATGGATCCACTAGGATTGGTCAGAGTCTAACTAAATACAAGACAGACCCACCTAGCCCCATCATACCAAGTGGGTCCCAAGAGTCTCAGGCTTTAGTACTAAATGGGACTTTGGTAAAGCCATAGGGGAAAAGCCACAGTCACCAGTCCCACAACTCTGGTAAAGTGCTGGTTAATTACATCTCCAGGAGCCCTCAATTTAATTCCACCTTACCAGTCTCTCTAAACAAATGGTAAAAAATAATCATGGGATGGAATCAGCAGAAAGACTTGAGCAACATGAATAACCAGAGTAGATCTACTCCTGCAAGGTGTGACAAAGGAGACGCAATAGAAGATCCCATTAATAAACAAATGACTGAGATGACAGAAATTGGGTCCAGAATTTGGATAGCAAATAAGATTAACAGAATTGAAGTAAAATTGGAATTGGAAGTTCAAGGGGCAATTCAAAAGCTGTCTCAAGATTTCAAAGGTAAAATCATCAAAGATTTTGACAAATTGAGACAAGAAGTTGCATCCCTTGAAGACCTAAGAAATACAACTGAATCCCTCAGTAATAGGATGGAGCAGGCAGAAGATAGGATCTCTGACATTGAAGACAAAGCTTTTGAATGTTCCCAAATGCCCAAAGATGAAGGGACGTGGAAAGCAAAGACAGATCATTTCCAGAGGGAGTTGGGGGACCACTCCAAAAAAGCAAATATTCAACTTACTGGAATTCCAAAAGGTGATGAGAATGATCTGAAAGGCACAGATGCTCTACTCCAAGAGAGTTTAGAGGAAACATTTGCAAACATGGCAAGAGATATTGAAATTCAGATAGCAGACAGTTTCCGAACTCCAGCATGACTGAATCCAAGTAAAGCATCCCCTAGACACATTGTAATTAAATTTGCCAAAAATAATATGAGAGAGAAAATCTGGCAAGCAGCCAGACATAAGAAAATCATAACCTACAAGGGGTAGAATATTAGAATGACTGCAGATCTTTTTGCTGAAACTTTTCAAACTCCTAAAATGAAACAAATTTCAGCCCAGGATCCTGTATCCAGCCAAACTGAGTTTCATTTATGATGGAAAAGTCAAATACTTTAATGACATTCACACACTGGAGAAATTTGCCATAAATAAACCAGCTCTTCAAGATATACTCAGACCCATCCGCCATAATGACCACCACAATGCTCTACCACCAAAGTAAACTCACTCAGAAATTATTGATCAAAATCCAACATCCACAGTGGCAAAAGGATTAAAAACGTTCACTGGTCTTTCGAAAACTTGACACCCAAAATACGACCAGGCTTATCAATACTCTCAATTAATGTGAATGGCTTAAATGGTCCACTGAAGAGGCACAGATTGGCTGACTGGATACAAAAACTCAGGCCAGATATCTGCCACATACAAGAATCTCATTTTATCTCAAAGGATAAATATAGACTCAGGGTGAAGGGATGGACATCTATAATCCAGGCAAATAGAAAATAGAAAAAAGAAGGGGTTGAAATTTTATTAGCAGATACATTACGCTTTAAACCAACAAAAGTAAGGAGAGACAAGGATGATCACTTCATATTTGTTAAGGGAAACACTCAACATGATGAGATATCAATTATTAACATTTATGCATCCAACCAAAATGCTCCTCAATTCATAACCAAAACCGAAACAGACATGAACAATTTGATATCTTCGATCACCATAATAGTTGGAGATTTTAACACCCCTTTGGCAGGGGTGTTGGATAGATCCTCCAATAAGAAAGTAAGCAAAGAAATTTTGGACTTAAACTTCGCCATACAACAATTGAATTTAATAGACATCTACAGAACATTTCATCCTAACAAAACTGAATACACATTCTTCCCATAGCCCATGGAACATCCTCCAAAATTGATCACATCTTAGGCCAGAAGGCTAACCTGAGAAAATTTAAAAGAATAGAAATGATTTCATGTATTTTCTCATATCATCACAGAATAAATGTTGAACTCACCAATTAACAGAAATCTGCATACTCATACAAAGACATGGAAACTAAACAACCTTATACTGAAAGATAGCTGGGTCAAAGATGAGATTAAGAAAAAAATTACCAAGTTTTTGGAACAGAATTATAATGAAGACACAAATTATCAGAACCTCTGGGACACTTCAAAAGCAGTCCTAAGAGGGAAATTTATAGCACTGAAGCCTTTCTTAAGAGATGGAAAGAGAGGAAGTCAACAACTTACTGGGACATCTCAAGCAACTGGAAAAGGAAGAACACTTCAACCCAAAACCCAGCAGAATAAAAGCAACAACAAAAATTAGAGCTGAACTAAATGAAATAGAAAACAAAAGAATTATTCAAAAGATCAATAAATTAAAAAGTTGGTTTTTTTGAAAAGTTTAACAAAATTGATAAGCCCTTGGGTAGCCTAACCAGAAATAGAAAATTAAAATCCCTAATTTCATCAGTCAGAAATGACAAAGGTGAAATCACAACAGACATCTCAAAAATTCAAAAAATTCTTTTTTTTTTTT